GATGGAAACCTGACTCCAGGACGTGGTGGAGGTGATGGAGGTGATGGAAACTTGGCTCCAGGGCCTGGTGGAGGTGATAGAGGTGATGGAAACTTGGCTCCAGGGCCTGGTGGAGGTGATGAAGGTGATGGAAACCTGACTCCAGGACGTGGTGGAGGTGGTTGTGGTGGTGATGGACACTTGGCTCCAAGACCTGGTGGAGGTGGTTGTGGTGGTGATGGAAACTTGGCTCCAGGACCTGGTGGAGGTGGTTGTGGTGGTGATGGAAACTTGGCTCCAGGACCTGGTGGAGGTGATGAAAACCTGACTCCAGAACCTGGTGGAGGTGGTGGAGGTGATGGAAACCTGACTCCAGGGCCTGGTGGAGGTGGTGGAGGTGATGGACACTTGGCTCCAGGACCTGGTGGAAGTGGTAGGGATGATGGCAACTTGACTCCAGGACCAAATGAGGGCAAAGAATGGACTGAGCCAGCCTGGCTCTGAGATTTTGAGTTTTGGAATAGTGGGTCCAATTGTTCACTGATGAGGCATTGCTCTATTCAGTTCAGATCTAGGTCAGAACACAGCAACTAGCTGCTATATGTGGATCTTATTTGAACCCTGAATTTTACAAATAAACCATTACAAATTTATGAGAAAATTTGAAAATTTTTAATTTTGCCTGGATTTGATAACATTAAGGAATTAATTGTTTTCTTTTTAAGAGTGGTAATGATATTTTGAGTCCTTATATTTTGGAGAGACATACTGAAATATGTACTAATGACATATATTTGGATTCATTTCAGAATTATCCAAGAACAGGGGAGTGTTGGTATAGGATAGATGAAGCCGGATTGACTATGAATTGTTAGTTGTTGAAGCTGGGGGTGTGCTCTCCTCTCTACTGGTGTATACATATGAAATTTTCCATAAAAAAATTCTTGGCCTCAGGTAATGCAAGTCTTACACCCTGGGCCTGATCGTTTCCAATCAGAAATCACAAGAGGCATTTAAAACTGTGCCATATTAATCTCTTGTTACATTTCAAAACAGAAATTCGGTCCTCTTCTGTTTTGCCTAAAGCAGTTAAAGTCATGAACTGGGAAGAAATAATGCCTTGCTTTTATGTGGAAACAAACTGGGAGATACACATGATCTCCTTTATCATGATCATGGGAGGAATCCAACCAATCAAAGAGGCAAAGCCAACCCTCAAGAGAAAAGCCACATTTTTAGGTAGCTGGAAATAAATGCTTCTTTTGGAAGAGTTGGTCCCAAGGGAGGTCTTCTGGCAGCAGACACAAGGCATCAGTGTGAAAGCTGAGACTGAGTTGAAAAATTACAGCCTGAGCTTCAACTACCAGCGAAGAGGCGGTGCTACTGTGGAGGTGGGTCACACATTGCCAGACAGAGTCTGGGGGCAGAAAGGAGCCTCCCACTGACACCCTGATACTAGTTGCCTGGTGCCCACCCACATGGCACCTCATTCTCACTTACAAGCCACAAAGATGGAGGCTGCTTCGACAACGTCCCCATCACCTGCTGTGGAGGGTCCCAGGAATTGCCATGAAGCCCATACTGGGCAGGCCATCTCCCAGGCTACAGGGCAGCGACCAGGTTTCTTTTTCAATGAGGTCCCAGACAAAACAAATTATCATACATGTTAACTAGAAAGCTAGGAGGGCAAATTTTGAACTTGAGGGGGGAAAATTATATCTGGGAATGGGAAACTAGGAGATTATGTAGGTGTGTGCTTTCCTGGGGACAAACAAGCACACAATTAGCATGAGAAAACCCTGCAGTGAGCACGTGAGGGCCTGCTCATTGCAGTCGAGGCGGAATGAGTGAGCCATGGTTCTTGTCTTCAAGGAGAGCACAGGAAGGGAGGAGACGGGTGCGCAGAATCTCCTGGGAAAGTGCTGAAACAGAGGGCATGTCGGTCCTGTGACTCAGGCAGGGCAACTCAGCCAAAGTCTAACTTTGGGCAAATCGGTTCATCTCATTTTCATCTATAAAATGGGGCAATTCTTGCCTTGCTGACATGGTAGAGTTGTAGAGCTGTAAGGAGCTAGCTAGACCATTAAAACAACAACAATGATAAATAAATAAGTTTCAGCAGCCCCGCCAGCGTGGTTCAGTGGTTGAGTGTTGACCTATGAACCAGGAGGTCATGGTTCGATTCTTGGTCAGGGCACATGCCTGGGTTGTGGGCTCGATCCCCAGTCTGGGGTGTGCAGGAGGCAGCGATCAATGATTCTCTCTCATCATTGATGTTTCTCTCTCCCTCTCCCTTCCTCTCTGAAATCAATTATATATATATATATAT